ATTTTGTCATAGGTTGCTGGCAGATTAGCGGCCTTCCATAGGTGCCGCCAGGCCCCATATCGGCCATGGGCCCCCGTACCTCCTGGTCACGCTGCTGCTGCTGGTCCCACAGTGTGACCTGGGTCCCTGTACGGCCTCCCATTGCTTCCACTCTGCCATGTGCCACTTTGAAATCTCCTTACACTCCTGCGGTTTTCCATTTTGTCATAGGTTGCTGGCAGATTAGCGGCCTTCCATAGGTGCCGCCAGGCCCCATATCGGCCATGGGCCCCCGTACCTCCTGGTCACGCTGCTGCTGAGCCCACAGTGTGACCTGGGTCCCTGTACGGCCTCCCATTGCTTTCCACTCTGCCATGTGCCACTTTGAAATCTCCTCACACTCCTGCGGTTGTCCATTTTGTCATAGGTTGCTGGCAGATTACAGGCCTTCCATTGGTGCCGCCAGGCCCCATATCGGCCATGGGCCCCCGTACCTCCTGGTCACGCTGCTGCTGAGCCCACAGTGTGACCTGGGTCCCTGTACGTCCTCCCATTGCTTCCACTCTGCCATGTGCCACTTTGAAATCTCCTCACACTCCTGCGGTTGTCCATTTTGTCATAGGTTGCTGGCAGATTACAGGCCTTCCATAGGTGCCACCAAGCCCCAAATCGGCCATGGGCCCCCGTACCGCCTGGTCACGCTGCTGCTGGGCCCACAGTGTGACCTGGGTCCCTGTACCGCCTCCCATTGCTCCCACTCTGCCATGTGCCACTTTCAGGTCTCCTCACGCTCCTGCTGGTTTCCATTTTGTCATAGGTTGCTGTATGGCCTCCCATTGCTGCTGGCTCCACCGCCACACTGTGGCTCCAAACACTGGTTTTGGCCCCGTGACTGGCCAAATGAGTGAAGTGTGCAGTGATTCTAAGATCGACGGCACTCATCTGCATGTCATACTGACTGACAGTATTATTTCTCTTCCCCAGCAGACTCCAAGGGCATTTAAATTAAAGGTACAGTGTTCTGCACTAATATTAAGTCTCTCTGAAGCCTAGAAACACCCTTTTTTAAGTTAAATTCACAGCGAATTTATTCGACTCGAATCAAATATTGTCCACGAATTCGCCAAATCAGTCAAATCGAATTTTTCATTTCTTCGCTCATCTCTACTTGTCAATCCTGAGTATTCAGTCAATAAAAAGTCACAAAATGTGTCAAAAGAAAGACAATGGGTATACCGGATATTAATTGTTTGCTATAAAGCAATTAATATCGATCTCAATATTGTGTCCCCTAGGGTATAGGGTATCCAATTCGTAGACCCACTTAGTTTCTGATTGCGATACGGCTCTGGTTTTATTCATGCCCCTCCAATGTGGTGATATCACATCAATACCCACAAAGTTAAGGGAGGAGGGGTCATTGTTATGGAACATTCTATAGTGATTTGAAAGTGAATGTTCCCTGTAGCCCTTCTTGATGTTGGCCACATGCTCTCTTAAGCGATCACGAAGTCGTCTAGTCGTGCGCCCCACATACTGTTTAAGGCATGGACATTGGAGGAGATGCACCACAAATTTACTATTACATGAAATGAACCGATTGATTGTATATGGTTTCCCAGTTGTAAATGATTCAAAGGTGTTAGTTCTACATTTCCTAATGCCATTATATTTACAAATGACACACTTATTACACGGAAAAAACCCTTTTAGCTCATCAAAGAATGTAGTGCCAATAGGGGGGTTCGCTACATTCGGTGCTATTTGATGCCTGATTGCTGTCGCTTTCCGGAAAATGATCTCCGGTTTTTCAGACAAATTTGCAACTATTTTTGGTTTAACCAGTCATATTACTTGCAAATTAAAGGAGTTGCAATGGGGGCCAAGTTTGCCCCCAGCCTGGCAAATCTCTTCATTTCTTAGATCTTACACTTATTAATTTTAATGGTAAAATAGTCACAAAATCGTTTTTTAAAAGTACAGATAGGAATAGCTACATTCCAACCAGTAGTTGCCATCACCCTAACTGGTTGAAGAACATTCCGAAAGGTCAGTTTATGTGTATCCGACGCAACTGTACAGATGTAGAGACCTATCTTGATCAGGCTATGACACTGAAGAAAAGGTTTCTAGAAAAGGGATACAAGGAAGACAGTCTTGACAACACTATACAGATGATTGCTCAATGTGACAGAAATAACATGCTATCCGACAGACCAACTGAATCAAAGGTCTGCCCCTTTGTCACAACCTTTTCTACGCAATTCAGACAGATTGGGGGTATTATAAAGAATAATTGGAATTTACTGAAACTGGATCCCACACTGTCTAAAATTTTGCCTGAAAAACCGGAGATCATTTTCCGGAAAGCGACAGCAATCAGGCATCAAATAGCACCGAATGTAGTGAACCCCCCTATTGGCACTACATTCTTTGATGAGCTAAAAGGGTTTTTTCCGTGTAATAAGTGTGTCATTTGTAAATATAATGGCATTAGGAAACGTAGAACTAACACCTTTGAATCATTTACAACTGGGAAACCATATACAATCAATCGGTTCATTTCATGTAATAGTAAATTTGTGGTGTATCTCCTCCAATGTCCATGCCTTAAACAGTATGTGGGGCGCACGACTAGACGACTTCGTGATCGCTGAAGAGAGCATGTGGCCAACATCAAGAAGGGCTACAGGGAACATTCACTTTCAAATCACTATAGAATGTTCCATAACAATGACCCCTCCTCCCTTAAGTTTGTGGGTATTGATGTGATATCACCACATTGGAGGGGCATGAATAAAACCAGAGCCGTATCACAATCAGAAACTAAGTGGGTCTACGAATTGGATACCCTATACCCTAGGGGACACAATATTGAGATCGATATTAATTGCTTTATAGCAAACAATTAATATCCGGTATACCCATTGTCTTTCTTTTGACACATTTTGTGACTTTTTATTGACTGAATACTCAGGATTGACAAGTATGGGCCTTTTGTTCACAATTTTTATGGCTATCCTATTCATTCTATGCTATTCTATTCATTATTTTATGCTATCCTATTCATTAGTTTATGAACTGTTTTTAGCGTATTAATATTGGTGTTTTTATATAGGAATATATTTCCTTCTTCTTACTCATATATTTGCGCATATTTTTATGTATATTATTGACTGCTGCTTTTTGAGCACCTTCATATGCCATGGACAAATTAGTATATATTTTTTCCGATATCTCACCTATTGGTGATTAATCACTTAGTAGGGGGACTTGCAACTTATAATTATCTCCCCGGGACTATACCACTAATTAGTGGCATTTAGCGTGTCTATTTTGTTTATGGATCGCTGGGTACTATTATATCCCAGCTATCGTTTTAATTTTCCTTGGCAGAAAAGTTTGTCTCAAAATGCTGTTTTATTGGTATTTTTTGACAGGGACAATTAATGCACATGAGAATATTGTCCCCGCTCTTTTAATATATATATTTTTTAATATTACTGTAAATACTATTGTATTTTATGCTTTATTTATTTTAATCTATAGATTTGAGGACCCGGAGCACCTTTTACGCCGTGGGTATATTAGTCTATTCCCCTGATTTGTCACCAATCTTGGTGCTACATTATCTGGGAAGTGGCTTGTGGCTATCCTATTTGGATGAAAACCAGGATCTTTATACTGATCATCTCCCCTGGGACTGAGAGCCATTGCTTCTGGCTCAAATGCACCGTTCTGTGTGCTCTGTCAGCGATATGTAATACATTTCAGCTGACAGTTCCAAATATCCACGGCAAAATGGCGCTTAGCCGCGTGCGCATGCGCAGTTGCCCGGTCTCTCCGAAAATGGCGGCGAGTCAGTGCGCATGCGCGACTCCCGTTTTTCACTATTTGAAGATTGGGCGTCGGTCACAGAGCTGTCAGTATCCCCTCTGATGATGTGCCTTAGCACGAAAGGCCTCAGGAGGAACTGACAGCCTGTGACGCCTTATTGCCGCCCAGACCACGAGGAGGTCTGGCGGCCACTTCATTCAGGGTCAGTGGTTTTGCTTTTTATTTCATTTTTATCCTATATGTTTGGTCATCTGCCAGCATTATTACTGATATACCCTGCACTAAGTCTGTTACCAATAAAGTTCTTTTTGACATACTACACTATGGGTACTCTCCCACTCTTTGCCCATTATTGAGGGGTCAGCAGACACAGCTTCCAACTTCATCCAGAGGAGGGAAGCCTTCACCTGGAGTCTTTATCCGGCCGATCCATCCCGATCCTTAGGAGGTTCTGTGAGCCCAGCTGACCATCGCTTGGTAACACCCCTTCCTGAGGGAGATCGATATTCTGTGGAATTTAAAATACACATGCGCATTTCCTATGCGCGGTCGGTGAGTGCGCATTTCTGCCATTTGTTCCGGATTCCTCATAAGCTGTGTCCAGTTTATTATATCGTTGACTAAAAATGAACTTTTGATAACTATTTTCAGATCGAACTTTTTAGATCGAACTTTCTAGATCGAATTTTCTGTTTGTTATCTTTAGCGCTGCACTATATTTATCTATTCATCTACATGTTTTTGGTAGAAAAAATCCCAGTAAGTGTATATTGATTGCTTTGTGTGAAAGTTATAGCGTCTACAAACTATGGGATAGATAATGGAATTTACACAGCTTTTACTTTCTGACTGCCCAACACATTTCTTGAGGTGCTAAAACACCAGGATAGTACAAACACCCCCAAATGAACCCATTTCGGAAAGTAGACACCCTAAGCCAGTGATGGCGAACCTTTTTGAGCCCGAGTGCCCAAACTTCAACCCAAAACCAACTTAGTCTTTCAAAGTGCCAACACTGCAATGAAACCTGAATATCGAGCTTTTGGTTTAGAAAAAACAACTCGTACAGTAGTGCAAACTAATTAACAGTACAGGGATGACCAGAGACTGCGGACACAGTACAGGAGATGACCAGAGACTGCGGACACAGTACAGGAGATGACCAGAGACTGCGGACACAGTACAGGAGATGACCAGAGACTGCGGACACAGTACAGGGATGACCAGAGACTGTGGACACAGTACAGGGATAACCAGAGACTGCAGACACAGTACAGGGATGACCAGAGACTGCGGACACAGTACAGGAGATGACCAGAGACTGCGGACACAGTACAGGGATGACCAGAGACTGCAGACACAGTACAGGGATGACCAGAGACTGCGGACACAGTACAGGAGATGACCAGAGACTGCGGACAGTACAGGAGATGACCAGAGACTGCGGACACAGTACAGGAGATGACCAGAGACTGCGGATATAGTACAGGGATGACCAGAGACTGCAGACACAGTACAGGGATGACCAGAGACTGCGGACACAGTACAGGAGATGACCAGAGACTGCGGACACAGTACAGGGATGACCAGAGACTGCGGACACAGTACAGGGATGACCAGAGACTGCAGACACAGTACAGGGATGACCAGAGACTGCGGACATAGTACAGGAGATGACCAGAGACTGCGGACAGTACAGGAGATGACCAGAGACTGCGGACACAGTACAGGAGATGACCAGAGACTGCGGATATAGTACAGGAGATGACCAGAGACTGCGGACACAGTACAGGGATGACCAGAGACTGCGGACATAGTCCAGGAGATGACCAGAGACTGCGGACATAGTACAGGGATGACCAGAGACTGTGGACACAGTACAGGAGATGACCAGAGACTGCGGACACAGTACAGGGATGACCAGAGACTGCGGACACAGTACAGGAGATGACCAGAGACTGCGGACAGTACAGGAGATGACCAGAGACTGCGGACACAGTACAGGAGATGACCAGAGACTGCGGATATAGTACAGGAGATGACCAGAGACTGCGGACACAGTACAGGGATGACCAGAGACTGCGGACATAGTCCAGGAGATGACCAGAGACTGCGGACATAGTACAGGGATGACCAGAGACTGCGGACACAGTACAGGAGATGACCAGAGACTGCGGACACAGTACAGGGATGACCAGAGACTGCAGACACAGTACAGGGATGACCAGAGACTGCGGACATAGTACAGGAGATGACCAGAGACTGCGGACAGTACAGGAGATGACCAGAGACTGCGGACACAGTACAGGAGATGACCAGAGACTGCGGATATAGTACAGGAGATGACCAGAGACTGCGGACACAGTACAGGGATGACCAGAGACTGCGGACACAGTACAGGGATGACCAGAGACTGCGGACACAGTACAGGGATGACCAGAGACTGCGGACACAGTACAGGGATGACCAGAGACTGCGGACACAGTACAGGGATGACCAGAGACTGCGGACATAGTACAGGAGATGACCAGAGACTGCGGACATAGTACAGGGATGACCAGAGACTGCGGACAGTACAGGAGATGACCAGAGACTGCGGACAGTACAGGGATGACCAGAGACTGCGGACAGTACAGGAGATGACCAGAGACTGCAGAAAGCACAGGGATGACCAGAGACTGCGGACAGTACAGATGACTGCTGACCTTTGGGGAGGGAGGGGGAGCGGGTACCTGAATTTGACAGGTACCCGCTCTTACTTCCGCAGAGTTTTTTTTTTATCTTACCTGTTCCTCTATCCAGCCGCGCGCTGTCTTCCCGGCTTCTGTAGTGTGGGCGCTCGTCGGACAGCCGGATGCCCAGTGCGCATGCGCGAGAAGCGCTGCGCTTTGTGATTGGTCCGGCGGCTTCTGGGATCTGTCATGTGTCCCAGGTACCGCCTTACCATTCACAAAGAGCACTGCTTCTTGCGCATGCGCACTTGGGACCCGGCTGTCACGCACACTACAGAAGCCGGGAAGACAGCGCGCCGCTGGATAGAGGGACAGGTAAGGTCCCACTGCAGAGCTGAGCGGCTGGCCCGGTATTCTGACACGGCGGCGGTGGAAATACCGGACCGGCCGCTCTATATTCGCTCCATAAGACGCACTGACATTTTCCCCCCTTTTTTGGGGGAAAAAAAGTGCGTCTTATGGAGCGAAAAATACGGTATTCTCCTGGCGTGCCCACAGATAAGGCTCGGCGTGCCGGCTGTGGCACGCGTGCCACGGGTTCGCCATCACTGCCCTAAGCTATCTGCTGAGAGGCATATTGAGGCATTTTTTTTCTTCCACAAGTTTCTGGAAAATGACAAACATTTTTTTTTTTTTTTTTTACACAAAGTTGTCATTTAAATGATTTATTTCTCGCAAAAGCCATGGGTATATGTGGAATTACTCCCCAAAATACATTCTGCTACTTCTACCGAGTATGGGGGTACCACATGTGTGAGACTTTTTGCCTAGCTACATATACAGGAGCCTGAAATCC